TATAACTCTTTCTATCTCAAACCTCTCCAATGGATAGACTGTCTTCTACATCACATGGCCTGAAGCACAATTTAATTAGGGCTGGGAGAAAAGGCTACGTCTGACTGCGGCTCTGTAGACACCCAAGTATCGAAGTATTTCATCACCCCACCTGAAACAAGAACGACGCCGCAGGCCAAGCCAGCCATCCAGTGCCTCTCGTCCGGAAGATGAACATAGAACTCAACCAGAAGGGCCACAACTGATAGAATTAGGAGGAACTTTAACATAAAATTGATGGCTTTTGTGGTTCTAGGAGGGGGAGGGTCTCGGAATATGATGCATAACATCTTGCCCGCAGTAATGAAAATAACAAAGTAAAGAACTACGAGGGTTACAAGAGCATAGATTTTGGTTGTTGGGAACAAGAGAGAAATGGCTCTAAGACACGCACCAGAGCCGAAGGCCGTGGCGATTGAGATGGCATCCGAGCTCTTGACCTTTGAGTCGCTGTCCGCTTTACTGTTGCTGGCCAAATTCGGTGGATCACTGGTGGTGCTGGCGGCCATTGGCAAGGTCGAAGACCGGTCTTCGATGGGCATGTCATTGCCCTCAATGTCTGGGGTTGCTCTGCTTTCATGTGTCCCTTTGGAATGCTCCTGCTACAAGAGAGGAAGAGAGAACTCACTCCAATAAACAAATGAGAGACAGCCATGTGATAAAGAAAACTTGCTGTTGCCTTGGAACCCATGACATTATAAAAGCAGAGAAGAGAAATAAAGAGAGAGAGAGAGAGGAAGTGACTGAATATTCCCTGTGATGCCGGATATAAAAATACATAAAACCATGAAAATGAAAGAGCAGAGGAAATGAAATGAATATACCTTGAGATTGCAGGTTGTCAAGAGAATAAAAATTCTCGAGGCCTCAGGTTATTCAAAATCAACTATAAGAAAGAAAACTAAGAAAGAAAAAATGGAATTAACATCAAGTGTATAGGGATGATAACCTAATATCGAGTGTATAGGTACGATAACCTACTCTTGATTGCCGAGGTCATATCGCTAGGTAAACCGAAGTTGCATACTGAAACCTCGAAACATGACTGCTCAAGGGAGATATGGGTAGCTTTGATTGACAGGTGAAGGACAAAGTTGCATATCAGAAGCGAGTTTTCAAGAAATCACTCGGGTTTTAATGAAAGCCACTCTCTACTCTGTCGATGTAGGCACTGCGTGTGCTGTAGTAGGATGACTCGCTTTCTGATGGATTGCGATGGCACATCTGCCGCTGGATCATATTAAAGATATAATTGAAAGAGAGAGAGAAATTGCTGGAAATACAGCCATGTGAGAAAGAAAACTTCTTGTTTCCTTGGAACCCCTGGCATTACAAAAAATGAGAGAGTGAGGAAGTGACCTGAGTGTTCCTTGTGGTGCAGGACATTATGTCCTTAAAACCATGAAAATAAAAGAGCAGAGGTTTCAGAAGAGAAAGTGAAATGAAAATACCTTGAGACTGCCCAGTAAAGCGGCCAACAAAGTAAACATTCCTGAAAAAACACAAGGGTAAGGCTCATCAGCGATTAAGGCCTGAGGCATTCAACCTCTACTATAAGGAAGAAAAAATGGGATTAATATTAAGCAAAATTGAAGCCGGTAGATGAAAATGAGAACTTACTCTTGATCTCCAAGGCCATATCGCCGGTAAACCAAAGTTGCATATTGAAATCGAGAATTACAAGTGTATGGTATATATATAGTGAAGGGATGCAGGCCTACAATGCGTCAAAGGCACCTTTCGCACCGCCCAGAGTTAAAAAGCAGAAAAGCGCATGGCCAAAAAGCAATGGCTTTATTTAAACTATGTGTCACTTTCACTCTTTTACCCTTTCTTGACTCTTACTATGTGTCACTTTCACTCTTTTACGCTTTCTTGACTCTTACTATGTGCCACTTTCACTCTTTTACTCTTTCTTGACTCTTACTATGTGTCACTTTCACTCTTTTACGCTTTCTTGACTCTCTCTCAAGAGCAACGCCCGAATTTAAACTGCACAAACCTTTTCAATTTTTTTTTTTTTTACCTGAAATTCAATTACAGTAAAACATATTACAAGGAAAAATGAGATTTATCATGATTCAACACTAAGAAAATAGAACTAAGTTACATAAAATTTCTTAAAATCTTAATGGGTAATCTAAAATCCATTAACAGTTTAACGGGTAATATCCCTTACAAAAACAAATTCCTCTATCTCCCTCCATTCTCCACGTATCCATTCGCTCGCTATTCTCCCTCTATCTTGTACATATCCATTTTTTTTTTCTCTCTCTAAAATCCACTTGTCTCTAAAATCCACGTATAAATGTTTACATGGCATATCCATTTCTACACTCTCTAAGCGCATCCATTTCTACATCCCTCTATCCCTAATTTGTAAATCTCTAAAATCCACATATAACTGTTTACCTGGTATATCCATTTCCACACTAGCCGAGCGCATCCATTTCTATATCCCTCTATTCCCAATTTGTAATAAAAATAATAATCAGTAATGAATGAAAAATTACACAGCACAAATCGCCTTCCATTCTCCACCCATCCATTCTCTCTCTCCTGTATACATCCATTTCTACTTTCTCTTTCTAAACTCCCTCTATTCTCTACCCATCCATTCTCCCTCTATGTTGCATACATCCATTTCTAGTTTTTCTCTAAACTCCACAAATAAGTGTTTACATGGCACATCCATTTCTACACTATCTAAGATTTTTATTTATTCATCAGAGATAAGTATCCCTTGAAGCCACAATTGATTTTCCTTTATATCTAAGATAATGCATGAAAAATAATAATAAGTAATCAATAAAAAATGATAAAAATAATAATCGATAATAAAAATAAAAATCAATGAACATAAGTGATATTCCATAGAAGAGTGCCCATCCATTTCTACATCCCTTTATCTCCAATTTATAATCAAAATAATAATCGGCAATCAATGAAAAATTGTACAACACAATCATAATAAAAAATTTCACACAACATAATCCTCCTAAGAGATTAGTAGAAGCTAAATTGAAATAAGATACCTCTTTAGTCTCCTACCATGCCTCAAATTTTCTAATCAAATTTCCTCCCATTTTTTAATTACCATAAAGATTTTAAATTTTATATCATGAATTTATTATTTATTTGAAATTATATAGAGAGACATTTGAAAGACCTCTTCTGTAAAAAATAAATAAAAATAAGGCTTGTCATAATAAAATCATGTTATTCAAATCGTATTATTTCAATAACTTATCATGTTGAAACTAATTTCTAATTATGTTAGAAGACATGTGATTCCATGTAAGTGCCAAAGGCATGCAAAAGAAGTAAAAAATGTTGTCATTATGACTTTAGAATGGTAAAAGTTATTATTAGAAAATCCTTTTGGAATGGTGTTGATGTTATTATTAGAAAATCTTTTTTGAATAGTGTGATGATGACTTTAATTCCGCATTTCAGTGGAATTTTGTTGTAAAAATGAAAGAAATGATAGTTTATAGGCAATTGTTAGTAAAATGTTGGTAATGCATTTCTCATATTTCTTCTAGATATAGCTAAACGGTAGCAATGTATTTCCCTGCATCTAAATATTACCCAAACAGAAACAATCCATTTGCAGGTAATGTATTACACTAGCAAGGTATTTCACAGACAATATATTTCCAGGTATCCAAATGACCCCTTGCTGTTTTTTCATTTCCAACTCTTTCTCTCTCTCACTCATTTTTCAATCTTTTATCTTACCTTTTCCCCCTCTTTCTCTCTCTCTCATTTTTCAGTCTTTTATCTTACCTTTTCCCTCCACCTCCTTTTCTATTTATACATTATATTGATTTAAAAAATGTCATTTCAGCATGGGATCGCCCGGTCCAACCTGAGATTCGATCAACCCGTACCAGTTCTGTATATATATAGGAAGGCAATAGAGTTTAGAAGGGAATTGGTCGGTCCGTACAATATAACGGTGATTCTCTTTAGTGACACAACAATTTGGACCACCGATTCATTGATCCGAAGCAATTTTTGGCTGGTTCAATATTTTTTCGTCAGTTCATTGTTTTTTCCACACAATAAAACGACAATTTAGACCGTTGATTTAACGACCCGAATTGGTTTTGGGGTGACCGATCCGGGTCACAAAACTGTTGTTTAAATAACTAATATATACTAACATCTCTCCACTATTGTTAACCTGCAAAATTTGTAACTCTCTCTACCTTTCTCACCTTTTGGCTAAGATCAAGCGTAATATCGTTTCTAACTCTTTCTACCTTTCTCAACCTTTTGGCTAAGATCAAGTGTAGTATCCTCCATGTTTCCTTCTTTTCTACTTGGATATATATATATATATATAGGAAAACTCTTCTCAACTCCTATAAAAAAAAAATGAACAGTGATTTTACCAACCCTCGTCACCGTCCAAAGTTTATCGTACAGCCACAAATCAGAATGATTTGAATTTTTATTTTTTATTTTTTTTCTACAAATCAGAATGATTTGAAATTTGAACTATGTGTACATCTTAGTGATGCGCACCTAATAAAAATATAAAAATAATAATAATTCGAGAAAAAAAATTGACCAAATTACCCCAAATTTGTTGAGGGTATTTGGTCAATTTTTTCATGTAAAATATTTGTTCATATTTTTTTCGTAGATTCGTATTTTTTTTATGAACATACGCTTCAAATTTCAAATCATTCCAATTTGTAGAAAAAAATTAAAAATAAAATATTACCAGACAATCGTGACCGTGCAATGAACTTTAGACGATGATGAGGGTAGGCAAAATCACTATTCATTTTTACCTATAGGCGTTTTGTAATATCTCCTAATGCCTATAATTGAAAATGAATAGTGATTTTGCCTACCCTCATCATCGTCAAAAGTCCATCGCACGATAACGATTGTCCAGTAGTGTTTCATTTTTCATTTCTTTTCTACAAATCGGAATGATCTGGAATTTGGAACATGTGTACATTTTAGTGAGGCGCACCTAATAAAAATATATAAAAAAAAAATTTCCTGAAAAATAATTAACCATAATACCCCTAAAACTTTTCGGGGTATTTTGGTCAATATATTTCATATAAAATATTTTTTTTTATATTTTTCTAGATTCGCCAATTTTTTATGAACATGCTCCAAATTTGAGATCATTCTAATTTGTAAAAAAAATAAAAATTAAAAAATAAAATACTACCAAACAATCGTGACCATGTGTTGAACTTTGGACGGTGATGAGGGTAGGCGAAATCGCCGTCCCTTACGGTAGGCGAAATCGCCGTCCCTTACCTATAGGCATTTTGTAGTTCTTCAATTTGTAGTATGTTCAATATATATATATATATATATATATATGAAAAGTCTTAAAAACGCCTATAGGTGATTTTGAATAGTGTTTCGTTCTGCAGTGGCGGTTTATCAGACGGAACCGCAACGGATGTCGTCATATCAATGAAGGTACCACGTGTTTTTTTTTACCATATCCGTGACAGTACCGTGACGGACCTAGATCTATGGAGGTCTTTTAATCCTTGCCGTCCGAAAAAATTGGATGGA